TCACGGGAGGTTAGTCTTTGGTGTCGTGAATATGTTTTTAAAATACAATTATGAGTCACTCGTTGTTATCATTGTCTAACTTTACACAAATGTTTATCCGGATTTGAATAAGTATAGCAAATTGATAATGATAAATTAGTAAGTGTTTAAAACGAGATATTAGTAACATGACATGTGTAAAAAGTTGTACTGATAATAAAAAATTAAAATTAATTACAATACACAGTAGGGTATAATCTCCCGGTGTTGATTTAAGATTTAAACTAAGCATTGAAATGGTAACTTTCAGTAAAATTATGCAATTATTTGGTACTATTTTGGGGGTAATATTAAGTAATATTTGTCACAAAATTGAGTGCATTTTACACATGAATTTAGAAAAAAACACTAAATTTCAAGGTTTAGTAAAAATTTATTTGGTATATAAGTGATAGAAATTCGTTTTTTTGTCATAACAATTAAATCACATTTTAATTATTATTAATTATAATTGAAAATTATATCTAAATAATTATGAAATCTATTTTAGCATTACTTTTGTTGGCAGTTGTGGTCAAAGGCTTACCACAAACGAGTCCAACGGATGCAGAGTTGCATAACGAGTGGAAAAAGTTTCAGGTTTTTCACACTCAAGTGATTAGTATTTAAAATTAAAAATTATTTTTTATATGAATTAAAGACTGAATTCCGAAGCAATGAATACACGGAGGGATCAGATGAAGAGGTGATGAGACGACAGATATTTGAATCCAATTACCGGCTGATAGTCCGCCATAACATGGAAGCAGACAATGGGATCCATTCGTATCGATTGGGTGTCAATCAGTTCGCAGACATGACTGACGAGGAATTCAATGAAATCCTCTTTCGTTTCCAACTGAAGAATTATCACAAGAATGGTGTCAAATATACCCACAAAATGTCAAACGAAGAATTGCCTAAAAGTGTCGACTGGAGAGACAAAGGAGCGGTCACTCCAGTCAAAGATCAGGGAAATGTATGTCTCAAACATATTATAATTTTTAATTGAATTAATTGTAAACCACTTGTAATTACTAATCAATGGATGTGTGGATAGTGTGGGTCGTGTTGGGCCTTCTCTACCGTTGCCTCCATTGAAGGACAGTTAGTCATCAAAACCGGGAAACTGGTGCCCCTTTCGGCGCAAAACCTCCTCGACTGCAGCAGAGCTCAGGGCAGTCGCGGGTGCAGTGGATCCCTACCAGACCTGGCCTTCGAGTACGTGATGGCGAACCACGGCATCGACTCAGAGGACAGTTATCCTTACGTCGGAAGCGAACAGAACTGCAGCTATAATGCGAAGTCAAAAGTCGTGTCGATCGCCGATTACGTGAACGTGGAGTCGGGCGACGAACTGGCCCTCAAGGGAGCGGTAG